CCCCCCCCCCCCCCCACCTTGGGATTACCTAACACTTCTGAAAAAAGTCAAGGTCAACCACTGTATGATCTCATCTTATAATCAGACAGAAAGAGAAATTTCTACTTTCTATTGTCTGTGTGTATGAATCAGGAAACTGAAATCAAACACCTCCACCTTGTCATAGTGGTGGGGCTTGAGTACCTCAGTGATCCCAGGAGCTATGCTGGCAGTAGCATAGCTACTGGTAGGGCCTCCCTAGCCAGATTGGTCGAGGGGGAGAGGTCAGACTAAGACAGGTACCCTGGTCCTCCAGGTTGGGGGTTGGTCGCAAGGCTAACAACCTTGCACCGTAAAAAGGAAGATGTTTCGAAATCTCGATCAAAGCCTCGGACAGACGGACCTAACAGAGGATCGAATGGAAGAGGAGAATTGAGGAGGCCATGGACCAAATATGGCCCGGAGAGCCATAAAATAAGAACAACAACATTGTCTCACAACAGTTTACATGATATATTAAAATACTGATACTAAAGCTTTGTACATCCTGTAGAATAGCTTCAACTTTCAGTATTAGGCTATTTAAGTGGATAGTATTAAATATATTCAAAGAAGTATGATTACAATCAATAAATTACAGTGCTCTACTAATACCATATATAAACAGTGAAACTTGAAATAAATTTGTGTAAGTACTGACGTTTAAAAATCAATTTCATGTCCTTAGCAACAGCATTTTCAAGTCAGATTATTTTCAAAATTAGCTTGAATACAAGAAATAAAACATAAGCAGTATTAAAATTGTATCCACACGTTCGTTTAACTAATTACATACAAATTTCAAACATCATTTTCATGCAGTAGTCTGGCTCTTGTTTTCATGCAGGTTATATGTTTTTTTTTTTACAGTAATTAAATAATTTCTAATATGGAAGTTCAAAAGCAGACATACCAATGCTGCAATACCACAAACATTATTTTAAAGGTTAAGTACCTACACACCTGTCAGCTGGGACAGCTGTCAGTATAGTGACTAGCTACGGGCTGGACGACCGGCTCTGGGGCCCACCCAGCCTCCTGTCCAATTGGTACTGGGGTCCTTTCCCGGGGGTAAAGCCGGCCGGGGTGTGATGCCGACCACTCACCCCCATCTAGTGCCGAGGTCAAGAAAGAGAGGAGCTATACCTCCACTCACCCCAAGCACCTGTACAGCACGTAGCGGGACAAACTTTACTTACCTACGCCCCTGAATTGACTTCTTTATAACATGAGTAAAAATGTATTATCGCTAAACTTTCATCATTCCACTGAAAGCCACAGAATGTAAACATGTGTAATTCATAACAGTCGATGTTGCTTGGTTTGCATAACTACTGCCACCCTGAGGTAATCTGTTGAAACCTCTGATGCAAACATAGATTACTCCCCCCTTCTCTTAATAACTTTCCAGTGCCTTAGATACCATTAGAAGATTGCTGGAAATACTTCAATTATCCACGCTGTAATAAATAGCAATTTACACTCGATGTTAAGAATGCTTCCATGAATTCTGTCTACGTAACCTCAAGACCCTTGAAAATATGAATGAAGTAACTTTTTCAATACTTTCAGTCTAAATAAATTTCTGTCAACATGTCAAAACACATTCATAAACTGCACAAAACTCACTATTTACATTTTCGTACAAAACATTTTGTACTTAAAAGGATAGGTTTATTTTTTAAGTTAATTTCTTTTTTTAAATATAATGATTGGAGGGGGGAAGGGGTGTGCAAGTGAGACTATGGTCCAGCCCTTTAAGATAAATGAGAATGGAGTACTTGCATAATGATAAGTGGTAGGGGAAAACAAAAGTTCCACAGGGAAGAACTCATACCAGTGCCACCTACATAGATTACTCTGGGATAGAATCTCGGTCTCCATGGCGAGAAGCCAGCAAATAACCCGAGTTGCGGCACAGCCATTATTTTAACACAGTCCCTTTTACTAATTATTTATTCTTTCTGACTGAATGTGAAACAATTGTCGGTATCAGCGCCAAATATTTATGTATACATGATTCATAATCATTAGAAGAAAACAAACTTTGTATTTACTTGAACATAATACAAAACTCTTTACCTCCAAATCCCACTTACAAAACTGACTGCACCCACACATATTATAACTAACCAAGTAACCAACTAGACGGCTTACGGAACCCGAAGGTTCATCACCGAATTAACCAAAGCCCTCCACCGAACCCTGTCCTGGGCCAACAAAATCCAGTCTCCTTCGACTCCTATCTCCCATAGATCCCGCCTGACATTATCCTCCCATCTACATCTAGGTCTCCCCAGCGGTCTCTTCCCCTCAGGCTTCCCAACCAATACACGGTGCACACCTCTTGCCCCATCCATGCGCGCTACCCACACATATTATACATGTTTAAAATTATGTTTTGAATCCTCAATTTTTACTCAAGAAAGAAAAACCAGACCCAATTTGAGGATTAGCTTACATGTCAAAAAAGTCATCAGTCAACAAATTTCAATAAATATAACAAAAATGCATAAATATCCACTGCTACGGAATGAAGTAAACTTGTTTATGAACTATCATACCGCTATCAGGAAAATGGGTTCTTATAACAGATAATATATGGATATCTTCATACTCACTGTTGTGAGAACCTCAAGTCTTACACAGATAATATATTCTTCAGTCGAGATATCAAAATTAATTCTGGGGGTCCAATAACATGAAAAAATTTCTGAATAATAATAATCCCACTCATTTACTAGTTAAAATATCATTCTATGACGCAGCATGAAAAGCAGACGTACAGATCTCGAGGAGGTAACTCATGAGCGCCTGCCCCCTTCAAACAGAAATTCCCCAATACAAACATGCTTAGGAAACTGTGCATGTTCCACAAACAGGGGTGAAAGAAGAGTAATTAGTTCTTGTACAGGTCAAACCCTGGAGCTAATTGTCTTATGAAGTGAGAAACACAGACTCTCACATTTCAAATGCAAAGAAATATCCGTACACTCGAGTGCCCCCAAAAAAGAACCTCAGCTCTTTAGTTTAATACTACTTCAAGTTGTCAAACGATGCTATATAGCACATTTCCTGACTATTGAAGACACGGAAAAAACACAAATACCTGATATATCAACACTTAATACCTGAAACACACACATCTCAAACCCCTTCATTTTTAATATGTTTTGTTGTTTTCGAGTGTACTGAAGGTCAGTCGTGACATACAAATGCAAAAGAAGACATTAAAAATAAATCACAAATACTCGGTCTCACTGTGAATCAGTTTTACCGCAATAACACGTATGTTCACACGT